TCTCTCTCTCCCTCTCTCTCTCTCTCTCTCTCTCTTTCTCTCTCTCTCTCTCGCTCTCTCTCTCATGCCCCTCTGTCGACCGAGGGTCCAGCTCCCCAAAACACTGCTGCGACCAGCCAGTCTCCAAAATGAGTTACTTTTACATTGTAGAACATTGGCTTTGACTATTGTTACGACTCCCTCTGCACAATTTTGGTAATTTGGGAGACAGACTGCTTGGACCTCGCCTGTCAGTCATCGTCATCAAGTACATTATATGCGACAGACAATGGCGTACACGGTTCTCCATCCATTCCTTCTCTGAAATGCTCTCAAAAAGCGACATTATTCTGACCTTTCCCTGTTTCCCCCCCCCCCCCCAATCTGTTTAAGCTCTCCAATAGGTTGCTCGAGGCCTATCCCTGCCTCTTTTACCTTCATTTTTGTCAGTGAGAGTTAGATGTTCCAGGCCTTTTTGTCTGTTCAAGTGTCCCATAAACTGCATCTCCCTGCTAAAAGGTGGAGATACACAATACAAGAGGCTTCCCTTCTCGGAAATCGAAATCACGTAAAAAGCATTCTTTATTGTAAGGCTAAGAGACGGACATTTCAACCACAATTGTTGGTCAGCAAGAATCTAGGTACGTACCAAACAAATAGTATGTTGATTTGATCATGGTATGGGATAGAATTAGATGAGTCATAATATTATTGGTTTAGAGCTCTTTTTAATGCGTTGTGGTTATTTTCACAACGGAAGCTTTCTAAAAAGAACTTTCATCTTTGATTGGACAGAGCTAAACGAAAGAATAATCAGAAAAAGAGCTTCGAAACCTTCTGCAAAATCTAAAGTTCAATCCTGTCCAGCTGCAGATTTGAACTGTGGCCCGTATTTCTCGGGGCCCAACATGATACCAACAGAGGAAACAGTACACTTCTGATGTCCAAATAATGTCGGATTGACCGTCTGTTCTAGAACACCTCGATCAACAGTTCTCCATTGACCCTCTCTTCAATTCTGACAATACGCAAATGTTGAACTTGGAATGATTCAAACGAGGCTGTGAAGCACCATAACATTCTTTCAAACAAAATCCCGCTGTCAAACGCTCGCTCCTCAAACACAATAAGGTTTACGAAGTGGGTGCTAAACAGCGACACCCACACTAAAATATGATAATACCTCAGCGCTCGAGACAGACAATATTGAATTTTAGAAATCTGTCTGCGCTTTCTCTGAAGTCTTTGGGTCGGTATGTTTTGCAAAGGCTAGACTGTTTGTGTTTACTTGTTGACAACTGTCTTCTCTGCCAGTTCAGTTGTGTAGCATTTGAAAGTTACAAAATGTTGGGTTCGTCTTTCAGTGCTTTCCATTACTATTCATATTCTGTTTTCCTGATTAAGATGCACAAGGAAGATCACGGACCAAGAATAACTCTTCTAGGAACTTGAACAAAACGGTGACGTGAAAATAGCAGAATATTATTTCGATTTTTGAGAGCATCCGGGTTGAGGATGAGTCACAAACAATATCTGTTTTAGATCTGGCTCTTGAAAGAAGAAAAAAAGTAGCAGCAGCAGAAGTAGTAGTAGTAGTAGTAGTAGTAGTAGTAGTAGTAGTAGTAGTAGTAGTAGTAGTAGTAGTAGTAGCAGGAGCAGCAGCAGCAGCAGCAGTAGTAGTAGTAGTAGTAGTAGTAGTAGTAGTAGTAGTAGTAGTAGTAGTAGTAGTAGTAG